GTGTAAATCGCAAGTTCAATCTTGGTCCATTCTAGTGTTTTTGTGATGTTGTGCTCATGCATTGTCCAATTTTCTAGTCTAGTGTAAATCGCAACATTCCCTTGTGTGTGTCTGAGCCCAAAAGTGAGTTTCACTCACTTTCTCTCCACTCCCTACTTCGGTCTTCACTATGGTATAAATCGCGAGTTCAATCTTGGTACAGTGTAGTGTTTTCGTGATGTAATGCTCATGCATTGTCCATTTTCCTAGTCTAGTGTAAATCGTCATACCCCCCTGTGTTCTAATCGAAGTACCACATGCTTTTCACCCCCCCGTGTTCTATTCGAACACGGTAATTGTGGAAGTTGGTAGGCTGCTTTTTTTCAACTGTTTGAACCTTTGCTGTGATTTTTTTTACTGATTAGCTACACGACTGTGACTGTTGTTGGAATCTGGCTAGTACGGACTGCTGCTACAAAAAAGGGATACGTGATCAACCAACGGCACAAGACCGCCGGAAAACACAAAAAACGGGCCAATGTGGCCCAAAGGTAGGACAGTGACAATCCCGCTAAACAAAGACATGAGGACTGAGACTTCTCAGACCTCATATCCTAGGTATAAAGAGATGGCCTGCAGACCCAGCAGGCCATCGTAGTCCGTTTTGCTGAGAAATCATAAAATACACTTCTCCGAACTGTTTGCCTTGAGACCCGGACGGCGCCCGAAACAGACCACATGGTTCAAACCGCATCAGAATCAAACCAAACTTTGCATAGGTTTTCCCTGTGACACAGTGAGAGGGCCCACCAAGTTTTGGATGATTCTGAGGTCGTTTGAGGTAGGAAACACAGGCCTGTGTGGTCCGATTTTTCATACTTCGTTTAAAAAAAAAAAAAAAAAAAAAAAACAGCAAAAACGGCAAGTTGCTATAATCTTCAAATCTGCAAATTCTGCGATTTTTCTTCCAACTGTGTCTGCTGCAAGTCTGAGTTTTTTGCATATTAGCTGTAGGATAAAGTGTCGTAGACTGTGTCTTGCCCTCGTGGTTAGGGAGTACGCCGGGAGGCGAACCCGGACACTTGAGTTAAGGGACGACACGGAGCCAAGCCACTCCACATTTTCTTCACTTTCAACCTTTTTCCTCCACCACCTCCATCGCCCATCCACCATAGCTAACCACCTTCAACCTTCTTCCTCCACCACATCCATCACCCATCCACCATAGCCAACCACCGTCCACCTTCTTCCTCCACCAGCTCCATCACCCATCCACTTTAGCTAACCACCTTCAACCTTCTTTCTCCACCACCTCCATCACCCATCCACCATAGCCAACCACCGTCAACCTTCTTCCTCCACCAACTCCATCATCTCCATCACCCATCCACCATAGCCAACCACCTCGCACCTTCTTCCTCCACCACCTCCATCTCCCATCCACCATAGCCAACCACTGCCACCTTCTTCCTCCACCACCTCCATCACCCATCCACCATGGCTAACCACCTTCAACCTTCTTCCTCCACCACTTCCATCACCCATCCACCATAGCCAATCACCGTCAACCTTCTTCCTTCACCGTCTCCTTCACCCATCCACCATAGCCAGCCACCTTCCACCTTCCTCCACCATCTCCTTCACCCATCCACCATACCCGATCACCTTGCACCTTCTTCCTCCACCATCCCTTCACTCATCCGCCATAGCCAACCACCTTCCACCTCTTCCTCCACCATCTCCTTCACCCAATCACCATAGCCGACGACCTTGCATCTTCTTCCTCCACCATCTCCCTCACCCGCCCGCCATAGCCAACCACCTTCCACCTTCTTCTTCCACCACCTTCATCACCCATCCATCATAGTCAACCACCTCCCACCTTCTTCCTCCACCACCTCCATCACCTATCCACCATAACCAACCACCTTGCACCTTCTTCCTCCACCACCTCCATCACCCATCCGTCATAGCCAACCACCTTCCACCTTCTTCCCCCACCACCTCCATCACCC